TTAAATTAAATTTATGACACTTTTCGATTAACAAAATTCAAAAAACTTCAAAACACATGATCTTTCACTTATAAAGAGACCTGATTCGGTATTTTAAGCTTATCAATATGCAAATAAAGCTTTGTTATTATGTTAGGAGATTCTTACCTCATACTTATCTAGGGATTTTTTTTTTTTTTTTTTTTTGGCAAATTTGACGTTTACACCTGAGAGCATAGGAAAAAAAAACAGTGATGCACGAAAGCCTCTGATCCATATAGGGATTCGTTATAAAGTCCTTGCGTAGTTCGAAAGCATAAGCAAGTTTTAGGACTAACCTTAAATTTTTAAAAATAAAAATGTACGTAGTTCCTTAAAATTTAATTAAATACTCGTTTTACAAAAAAAAAAAAGTTAAGTATTCAATTACTCAATATTTCTTCTTTGTACATTGCCATTCACGGGTGACTGGCTAATTGGCTAGAGTAAGCGTGAAAGTTTTTTTAAAACTTATTTTGTTGTCGCATCTTACCTGGTGATAAAAGTAAATAAATAAAACATCATAACTTGAAAGAGAAACCAAAATTTTTTTAAATAACCTACAACATGGATCCTTGGAGTTTAAAACGTGGCTGCTAGAATGACGCTGAAACAATTTCGTACTTGAAACAATAACGCCCGAGTCTTTATCATTGCCTTCATCAGTAGACTTTGGATTGGTGTTTCGTACTTTATCACCTTTACTACTAGCAGAATCGGTTGGCATTGATTTATATCGTTGTAAGGGCGTTTTGGGTGTTTTCGCCTGGTTAGCCTGTAGTAGAACTTCGTCTAGCGAAAGAATCAAGTCATCTGAAAAGTCATCCTCTAAAAATTTCGAGTAAAACGAGGAACGCTTCTCCCCTTTACTAGTAGTGGGAGTTACAGGCATTCCATATTCATTATTTGAACTTTCCATGCCCTTCTTGCAGTAGCTAGATGTTGAACACTCTGAAAACGTATTCTGAGTGATATATTCCTTTTCGCTTTCAATTTCTTGAGTAGCAGCAACAGCAGCAATAAGCAAACCATCAGAAACTGAATCATTAAAGAAATCATCGAGACTATTTGAATTAACTGCAGGTTCCAAGTCTTGCACAATGCTAGGAGAAGGTTCCTTCGAATTATTGATAGCCGACGCACCTTGAATTGGCTTCTGCTTACTAATGCCTTTTAATTGTTCACGCAATTTGTCGCAACGTTCTTTTAGTTTCTGATCTGCTCGTTTTTTCTTTGCTCTACGTATTTCTAGTTCCAATTTTTTTCGCTCCTCTTCTCTACGAACGTTATAAGTCGAACGAGTCTTGCTAGTGCCCAAATCTGAATTGAGCTCGGTGCCCACAGTATTCAATGAACTAGAACTATTGCCTGAATTCGGGGAATCAGTATTAGCTGCTAATTGAACAGCTTTACTAGAACCATTCCATTTCCAACCCACTTCAGCACTTTCAATAACCAAAGTTTGTGATTGTAGATAAGACGGAGAAAAACTGTTGTTTAACAGTTTGGGCGAATACTCGAAACTATCATCAAGGTTTATTAATTTTTTACGCGGTGGCGTACATTCGCCCCCGTCAGAGTTAAAGCTAGGAGATTGTGACGACCTCATATGTGTTTTGGGCGACTCTGTTTAAAGAATAGAATGGTTGAGATTCTGAGCTGAAGAAATATATAGCAAATCATATATTACCACTGTGGCGTTTTTTATTTAAACGTGAACTTAAAGTTAAACCAAATTTTTTTCGTACTTTTGGTGTATCATTCATTTCCATACAAGTTTTTATTGAACAATTTTTCCTTTTTATGAAAAACAAATTAATTTTAAATACAAATTAAAGTAATTGACATAATCATATGTCAAAAAAAAAAAAAAAACATGGCCAGACTGTTAAATGTTCAATGCACAATCATTTAAGGTTTAATGGATAGAAAGCCTACTGTGCAGCGCATTCTTTGCTTCATATAGACCAAATAACTTCAATCATGATTACAGGAACTTTTCATTTCCTATTAATATTGCTATATATAACAATAGATATCGGGTCCTCTACTCTAGCGACTTTTGAAATTTTAAGCGGTAAAACCTTCATTTCTGCAAAATTGTGTGTCAATTATGTAAACCATATATTAAGACATGCCTTTCGTAGGCGCAAAATTAAAATTGCTCTGACGTAAAAACATCTGAAGGTTATCAAAATATGCCTAATATTTTTCTTGTTATTTTTTGTTGATTTATTGACAAAAATGATTATTAGAATTTCTTTTTTATAAGTTCTTTTTTATAAGTTCTTCATCAGAATATTTCATGGCAAATCAAAAATGTAACATTAAATTATTATGACCCATCTGCTATCTGGCAATTCTATTGTAGAGAACATTAATAAAATGATTTGGACCAATCAAAAACGTTTGCGTGGGAGAGAAAATCGAAAAACTTATGCAAGGTTGGAGTAAAAGTATCATAATACCGAACAATGGAAATAAATGAATGAATGTACTGTAAATATTTGCAAAATTTGCTTTGAAGCAAATCTTAAAATAACGAGCAATTAAAATAGTTTGTTTTATTTTATTTAGCTTGAAAAAAAAAGGAATCTAGAAAACAAATAGACCTACTACTAATTTCTCTCGATACGTTTGTTAGCGACCATGTGATGCGATATAATCGAATGAAAATATTATATTTTGCTCAATCTTAGTTCATTGTTTGAAGTGAGTAGACGTCAAGTTCGTGAAATATTGCGTGGGGGACAAGCCGAATTTAAAGCAAACGTGGCCCACAACAAAATAATTATTTAAAAAAGTTTGGGTTATAATACAGTTACGAAAATAAAAAATGAAACATGTATTAATGTGCATGCTGCTGCTATTTGCAGGTAAGGATTTCCATTGATTTGACTGAATGAAACAAAACTCTATCCATTTACATACATTTGCCGGTTTTCAAATTTTTTTATCTTTTTTTTTTTTTTTTTCATTTACAGCATTTCATCAAATCGAAGGTGAAGAGGTTAACGATGAATTGCCAACAGAGAACATCGACTTGGATTTAGGAGATTTCAAAGAAGGTTCTCGAACAGGTTAGTTCACTTATTTCGTTATCACTTTTTGTTCGGAGTTGTGCTTTATTAACACGTAATGAGAAATTTTATAGATGAATGAGTCGATCTGTTTCATTTAAATCGTAGCATTATCGACACTCCCCTTTTTTCTTTTTAGATTCTGAAACTGTACAGCGCGAGGAGGAAGCCATTAAATTAGATAGTCTTAATGTAGCTCAAATGAAAGAATTGCGTGATAAGGTAAGTTTTTTTCCGCTGGCAATCAAAAAAATTGGGATATAAATAAAGTATGGTTTTTGGGCTATGGTACGAGAATTTGTTGCGTTCGAAACTTATGCAGGTCTATGCGTATTTTGCAAAAAGAAATGGGGCAAGGTTAAAGAGGTAATAATTTCTGTCTACAGATTTAAATGTGATTTCAAGAGAAATTCTATTGCTCGTATAATTTATCAAAGATTTTATTTAGATAATGCATAGCCCAAAAGCCAGTTATTTGCGCGGGATGCACCTATGTGAGGCGTGTATAAATTCTTGGGGAGAATATCTATTATATATCGCTTATCTCAAATATTTATCTTGAAACTATTCAAATTATAACAAGTAATTTGAATTTTATCTTTAAGTCTCAAGAATTTCTCGATGAATTTCCTATACAGACAGATTCTAAATCGAATGCAATTCTTATATTTATAATAAAAAGCTATTTTGTTTATCCTATAATATGCATAACATATCTTGAAAGGGCGCGATATTTGGAGCTCATTTAGCTATACCCCTCGTCATTTTTGTCGTTGCAAATACTAATTGGGGTTTATTGCTCTCGATTCCTCCACAAAACTGCAAAAACAATTGTAGAACATATTCGCCTGGTCCTTACATCAAGCAATGAAATATGTGTGGACGTTCTCACCCGCTTCTATTACCTTGTCGTAATGAATGTAGACGCTTCATAGATAGATATAGACTGCATACAAGGTATTTGATATTGACCAGTACTAAATTATTTATGATAATCAAAACTTGATGATAAGAAGCAAAGCAAATAATTCAGCCTGTTCTTTGTGTAAACTATTTTTTCGAGCTTTAGTCGAAAAGTAGAAAAAATTTTCGTTTTACCTTAAAATAAGTTCATCGAAAGCTGAATGTGAAAAGTAAATAAAGTATATATTGTTATTATGTTTTAGGCTGAAAAATTCGCCTTCCAAACTGAAGTGAACCGCATGATGAAACTCATCATTAATTCGCTGTATCGTAATAAAGAAATTTTCTTACGTGAATTGATATCAAATGCGTCCGATGCTATTGATAAAATTCGTTTATTGGCACTCACCGATAAAGATGAAATAAACACAAATCCTGAATTAAACATACGCATAAAGGCGGATAAAGAAAATAAAGTCTTGCATATCATGGATACGGGTATAGGCATGACGCATGAAGATCTTATTAACAATTTAGGTATTATTGAAAAATCAGGTATCGCTAAATCATCTTCAAAAGTGAAAGACAATAAACGAATTTTATCAATAG